GAAAAAATCGTGGCTTGTCCTGAAAGACCTCCCTTGTAAGCCTAGCAAAGGCAGGAATCGCGGGAGGAATGAAAATTTTCCGCACCTAATCCGCGATTCTTGCCTTTAAAAGCTGCTTAGCCGGAAATCGAGCTCGGACTTCGCATGTAGCAGACGCATATTATATTGTTGGGGACTTCACCTGCTGTCGAGCGATTTGAAATTCTTATTATGAGGCTTGGCTCTATTATTATGGTATTCCTCAGAGTGAGATAGCCCTTCTAAGTACTATATCTAGACATTTTGTGATTTTGTGACGATGGCTTACATTCTTGTTTTGTAAACTACTCGACTAACAGCCACCGTCTTCAACAGAATGGCATAGAGGAGGAAAATGATAAAGCATTCCACGTCAATGAATCCCTTTTGGGATGAGCCACGCATTCTACTTATGTACAGAATCGTAGTGACAATTTGAATGTGACTGCGCATACAATGGCTTGTGGAGATCAGCCGCTGATCAAGCCAGCCTTTTCATCCTCCTAGACAAGTCTGGTAATATTCAACCGACCTCGAAATGAAATGACGGAGGCCTCGGATTGCTGGTACGACGTATGACCCAGAATTTGATTCCCGGGCCATGGGGTGAGCAGCGCCACCTTTCACCACGCTCCCACCCATGGACGTTATTAATCAACTGCCCGGTATTAAATTACCCGTTTTATGTTCTCCCCATTCCTCACTAATTTTGGATTTTTGAGGAGATCTTTGCTCGTTCGAGTTCTCGTAGTAACTCTATAAATTACTGCTCACTGCAAGTATCCATCTTGACCTTTTCAGCTACGTGAGATCTGCCATCCTTTAGGTGTTCACATCATTTTCGATCTTCAAATACGTGAGAAATCTAAGACGGGGTTGTTGTTGCAATTTCCGAGTGTAAGCGAACTTGACGTCATGCAGACACATGCTGCAAGTTGAAGAAAAGTATTATCTGTGCTTTGATGAGATATGGGTAAATTTCCCCAACGCTAGCACTCCGGGCCGTCCGGCCCGTGGGAAATTTTCAACAGGAAAGCGAAGTCGTGTATGCTATTTTTTGAGGCGGGGAAGGTTGTTCCTAATGGGAGTTGGCATAGTGTTATTAGTTTTGTTTATATTTGGGATCTTGGGAATAAATCTGAAAATGTTTAACTAAATTTGGAGAACTTTGCAGATCTAATTTTTTTCCTCTTTAGCTTTTACAGCAATTCAAGTGTTGTATTCGCGTTCCTTTCTTTTGCCAGATTTCCACCCCCTTCCCCTCGTCCTACTCATACTTTCCCCTTTGTCACTGCTCCTCCCGCTTAGCTTGGGTTCTGGAG